ACACTCCAACTCATCCTCACAGTGTCTTATGGATACCTGATGCTGATGTGACACATAAATTTGGAGGTGTCTAGATGATCAACTATCAAAGTGGAGACAAGTTGAGGTGTCTCGATGTGCATGCTCAAAATTGGAGTGTTTTTTTTTCTGTATTATGCCGACAAAAAACACTCCAATAGGGTGGAGTCGATTAGGATTTGAAGCTTATGGGCTCGAAATTTAGTTTTTTCTTTTAAGTTAATAGGCTCTAAAATAACAATTTGTATATATTCAATAATTTATTAAGACAATTAGACAAACAAAGGGTTTGGACCAAAGCTATTGAATTCGAATGAACTTGTAACTTGTAAGCTATACTCTAGGTCCGATCCACCCCGACAATCCAATATGGTATCAAAACAAACAAAGATCTTAGCACACATATTGAGGCTCAGTATAATTAAATAATTTAAAATATATTTTCTTCAATAAGATTAATGGTTCAACAACAAACAGAAAAAATTGAACTTTTTGAAAGATGAATTTAGTAAGATAGCTATCTAACACAACTTAATTCTCCCACTTGGGTAACCCCTATGAAAGTGATTGGTTAAACTAGTGTGAGTTGGAAGAAACTGATGGCCAAATTGCAGCCACAATTTTTATTTTATTTTTAATTTCATTTTATATTTTGTTTCTTATCCTAGGTAGAAAACAAGGCCAATTACTCCCATCAAGCTTTCTATAGTGCCTTGAAAAAAAATTATGGTTTTAAAGATTGACTTTTACATTGCCGATTTCAAGTCTGAATAAAAGAAAAGCATTGTGGAGGACTAAGGTTGTATACATTTTATCGTTTTTAGACTTCACTTGTGAAATTATACCGAGTATATTATTGTTGTTGTTACATGTATAAAGTGAGTCGAGTAGATGTTGCTTTTTATAAGCCAAATAGTAAAAATAGACACTCCTACTTATACAAGATTGTATGTATTCCCGAACATCTTTAACTTAACGAAAGTTTCATCCAGACACTTGTTGAGTATTAATTGCCCTGAGTTTCTTACCATGAATAGGATTTTCTTTTAGGAAAAGATTTAAAATTTATCTAGTCATTTTTTTGTAGGAAAAGGTTTAGAACTCTATAAATAGAAGTTTGTTCCTTCTAACTTCATCACTATTTACAATGTAGTCCTAGAGTTTTGGTTATGGGGGAGAATTTGTGAACCTCATTGTATTCCGAGTGAATTGGTTGAGGTTATTTCTCTCTATATTTTATACTCTCATATCTATATAGTGGATTGTTCATCTCCTGTGGACGTAGGTCGATTAACCGAACCACGTTAAATCTTTGTGTCTTTTGGTATATTTCTCACTTATCTTCTTACTCATGGTCTTTTGAAGTTTGTTTTGCTAGCTTCTGCATGACACTTGCTTATTTCGGTCCTAATAACACTATGACTTGATCAAAATAAGTGTTAGTGTTATGCTACCATATACGTCATATTCACAATTGATTTGGAATATCTTTTAAATATATATGATACCAAATCTTAACAACTACAATCCACCATAAATAATTAAGGACAAATTACTTAACTACACTCCTTTACTTACCTTAATATCCATTTATCCCTACTTATTTCAAATTTTCAAATATCCCTTATTTACCTATGTATCCCGCATGTATCCCGTGTACAACGCTATGTATCCCCTGTGGAAATGTATCAAATGCTATGTATCCCGTGCACAACGCTATGTATCCCGCATGTATCCTGTGCACAACGCTATGTATCCCGCTATGTGGAATGTATCAAACCTAATGTATCCCGTGCACAACGCTATGTATCCTGCTATGTGGAATGTATCAAACCTAATGTATCCCGTGCACAACGCTATGTATCCTGCTATGTGGAATGTATCAAACCTAATGTATCCCATGCACAACGCTATGTATCCCGCAAACATCATTTTTAAGGGATTTTTGGTAAATAGAAAACTAGAAGGGATAGGATGTTATTTAGTACTTATAATATGTGGTTCCTATAATTTATACAATAATTAATTGAAATACTATAATGATGGGATGAACAATGAGTGAAGGCGTTGGGAAACTTTAGACTTATATATATAAAAGTTCATCTCTTTAAAGTTGTTTGTCATTTGTCAATTTTGATTTGGCACAAAATATAAGAAAACAAAGAAGATTTCTAAATTTTTTTGTAATTTTAAATTAAAGATATGTCAAATGCATCAAAATGTTATTTAATTTTATAATTTTAAACATGTCACGTGAAAGTTAAAATTAAAAAAATAAATTAAAAGGAATGAATCATGCCTTTTTAAACAAGCTATAAAGAAAAATAATCAAACAGATTAAAACAAAGAGAGTATTTAATTAACTCATTTTTTTCTTAATATGTAATTATAGTAAACTAGTAAAACATATATATATGTAAAAAAAAGAGTGAGCTTTAATTGAAGTAGGTTCTCCACTCCTCATGTTCAAGGTCTCTTATGTTGGTTGGCGATACTAGATAACAGTACATATTAGTAGATAAATGCTATAAATTTCTTCAAAAAATTATATATATTTTATGTATAGAGGTAGAGTGGAATTTTAAAGTTTATGAATTTAAGTTTTTTTTAATTTAAATTATTGAGATCTAAAATAATAATTGATGTATATTAGTAAATAAATTTATTTAACATATACATAAAATTGTAATAAAAATTATTGAATCCGTGCAATTATGGAAAAATCTTTTTGGCCAGAAAATTTGATCAGAATGATACTTTATCTATGTTATTTTACCTTTTTAATCATTTTTACTCTTTTAATTTTAATACCTTTTAACTAAAAAATGGAAAAAAGATCAATTTATTTTTAAATAAAAATAATATTATAGTATTTTTAATTTTCTGACCAAATTCTAACTAAATTTTCTGGCCATTTAGCACTTCCCTGCAATTATACAATGTAAATTCTAGGGTAGTAAATCAACAAATTAAATGATTCTGATATTTTCCTCATCTCGAAGTTTGTAAGATTATTTTACTCATCTCGAAGTGTAAAAGAGAGAATACTACACAACTTATGACGGTTTGGTTCAAACAAATACCCACATTTATTAAGTCCATTTTACTCCCAATTACTAAGAGTAAAATAACATAAATTTAGGAGTAAATTTTTTTTTTTTAATGCAAGCTTTTAATATTATGAATCTTATTAGAATTTGGATTTTAAATAAATATATATGACTTGTCAAGATACATGATGTCAAAATAAAGTATAATTTATTCTAGACATATTGTCTCCAAGTGAATTTGTATGTGTCTACTCACTTCTCCTTATGTATCTATATTTCAGAATGTATGTAATACCTCATATACTTGCAAATCACGTTTAGAAGTAAATTACTTTCTTTTCTGGGAGTTTTCAATATCACGAATCTTACCAGAAATTAGACTTTAGATATATGTATATGGTGTGTTCAGTTATATGTATCTCAGCTATGTGAGATTAAAAATAGGAGTCCGGAGCCTAAAGGGCAAAAAAAATTGTCAAAAATTTCAAAATGGCACATCACTTTTTATTTTAGCCAAAAGGGTAAAATCGCTGCTCTGACAAAATGACGAAATAGCAGCGATTTCGTCTAAAAGTTTTTTTTTTTGTTTTTTTAATTAAAAATCGCTGCCTCAGAAGCGATTTTGTAAAAAAAAAAAATTAAAATTAAAAATCGCTGCGATTTTGTAATTTTTTTTTAATTAAAGATCGCTGCTTTTTCTTTTAAAAAACTAAAACGGCACATCAAAAAAAAAATTTAACCAAAAGGGCTTCTGACAAAACAAAAATAAAAATCGATGCATATTTTCTCAAAAAAAAAATAACTTTTTTTCTTCAAAATCGCTGCTATAGCAGCGAATTTGGTTAAGAATTTTAAAAAAAAAGTTTTTCTTTTAATTTAATATTCTTTTATTATTATTTATGATATATAATTCAATTTTCCTCATGCTTCAACAATTTTATTGAGTATACTGTCGTCTTGTTTATCATTTTTATATTATTAATAAGTAATAATAGGCATGAAAATAATAGCACTCGGCATGAAAAACGCTGCCCCTGCAGCGATGTGTAAGGAAAAAAAAAATTCTGACTTAAAATCGCTGCCACAACAATTTTTATTTTTTATTTTTTACAATGGCAGCGATTTTTAATAATAATAATAAAAACAAAAATTTAACAAAAATCGCTGCTATGGCAGCGATTTTTAATAAAAAATATTATTTATTTTTTTTACAAAATCGCTGCTGTGGCAGCGATTTTTTAAATAAAAAAAATAAAACAAAATTTTTAGTCGAAATCACTGCATTTCGTCATTTTGTCAGAGGAAAATCGCTGCTGACGCAGCGATTTGCCCTTTTGGCTAGAATAAAAAGTGATGTGCCTTTTAGAATTTTTGACAATTTTTTTTGCCCTTTAGGCTCCGGACTCTTAAAAATAGGTATAATTTGTTCCAGATACATCGTATCCAAGTGGATTCACATGTACCTCTCTCCTGCTTCTCCCTATGTATCTGTATTTCACTATGAATATGGTATTTTATATACATTTATCTAGCGTGATTCGCATATATCTGAGATACATATATAGATTATCTTTCTCGCTTCGCTCCCTATTTTAGTGTATTAAGTAGCAGAAATATATGTATGTAGGTGTATTTGACTTAAAATTTGATATAAAATTATTAATTAGTGAAACAATGCATAATTATTTCAAACAATAAAAATAATTACTAATAAAAATTATAAAAATATTTATGTAATTAAATAGTTTTTCGTTAATTAAGGATATGATTACTAATACTAAATAAAAAAAAAAAATAGGTAAACGGTCAACCCAATCATTTATTTTTCATTTCTCAAGAGGCCAGCCTTATTGATTATATTGGTCCTTCTCTTATATCACAAAAATAAATGCAGTACCAAGTCCCAACTAACTCCTTGTTTAGCTATAATGGAAAATTAAAATATACTTATCTCTCATTGTAAAGGCTACACCTTCTACCTTCTTCTTCCCTCTTTTGTTTTCCAATTTTCCTCACATAATTAGGGCAATATTAGCAACCTAATAGCTGACTGATCTCATTGATCATATAACTGTGAGGAAACGTGTCATATTAGAGGTCTAATGAAAAACGTTGAAAAGAATTTCCAAATATCAATGGCCTGTTTGGCTGTAGTTATAGTATTTATAGGTTTGTACACTCAATCTTTAAACAAAATTATAGTCACTTACTTTATTGGTATTTTAGGGATCCTTGGTGTGTTTTTACCTGATTGGGAGTCCTTTGATCAAAGTGTCTCGCATTGGGGCACTCCTTTCAAAGTGGATGAGTTCACCACTGAGTCTTGCAGATCGGTCAGGTGATTGAAAATTTTCGTTTTGAGTTTAAGTTATATACGTTCATGATATAAATAAAATTTCATATTATCAAATTATAATATGTTATTATATCGAACTTACTTATGATAGTTAACAATAGTATTTATTGTATATGTCAATGTTAATTTTTAGGTTGTGAAGTATTATTAGTGCTTATAACTTAAAAACTCTTTTCTTCTTTGCTAATAAACGGCTAAGAATATTGTACTCGCAAGCAAATTATAGTATTGTGCTTTGGCAATCTACTAGGAAAAATAATTTGTTCTCAATACATGAAATGAATTGTCAAATAATTAGAGTTTACATTTTATCCACTAAAAGGTGTAAATGACTTTTACTCTAATTAGATAATTTAATATATATGCTTAAAAAATTGAAGTTAAGTGATTATGCTAGTTAATTAGTAGCTTAGAAAAGATGACATTATTAGCTATTAGATCTAATCTAACTTTGTTAAACATGTAATTATAAGTGGATATAACTTGTGGAAATGATCGGACAACATTGGTGGTGGGAATTTTCAATTCCTTCAGTTTATTTTTTTCACCTTTTCGTTATCTTTCCCTTTGATATTAGGTCACCTGTGTGGTTTTGTTATTATATTCCAACTTGAAATGTTGGCTATTTATATGTAAAATTAATGGATATCTACATTTTCTTCCCAATCCAGGATATCATTCTTCTGAGTAAAAAAATTTCAGTTTAAAATTTTGGATCTTAACTCTAGTGTGTTGAAGTATAGTTTTTTTTAGTTCACACTAAATGCTAGTTTGTATTGTTTCAATTGTATGATTGGAATATGAATGAATTATCATCTCCATGATTATATTATACACTTTTCATATGTACAACATAGAAGGAAAACTCTAGATATTGAGTTGAAAAAATAAACTTCAACATTAATTAAAGTAAGAACGGAAAATTCTCTCCTTACAATCAAGGACTCTAAGTTGATGATTTGTCATCAGATAACGTATTGCACATTAGTTATTGAATATTATAAACTCCTTTAAAAAATTATAAAATACTTTGTAATAATACAATATATTCTAAAATTTGATTTTCGATCGAGGGAAGTGAATCAACAAATGATTATGTACAATTGTTTTATTTGTGGCTTTTGACAGGTGCTAAATTTATTTTACTTGTTTTTATTTGTAGGTTTAGATTTTATCCAGTCAGAATGGCTATCTTCACAATTTTATATGGATTTGGTGTATACAAGTGGTGGATGTTTATATCCACTCAATAAATTCACATTAATGCACCCATATTTGGTAGTTTTTTTTTTCTTTTTTTTTGTTGGGTGTGTGTTTGATTTTAACATCTTTAGATTAAGAGTCAGACTGCAAATAAAAACAAAAGAGAGGAATTGTCCCTTTATGTATATATAATAAGTAATTTTCGACATATTTAATTGATATTTGTATTATTTTTTTTTTGTTTAATCATAGATATCTCAAATTTATTAGTCCGATTAATTTAGATTTAGACAAAACTAAGTGACACTTCAGCTTATGGTGAATTCAACTATTTATCATAAGAAGACTCATATAATGTGGAATCAATTTAGAGAGATAAAATTTGTAGTATAAATGACATAGAAATAATAACACCAGCAAACATCTAATTTTTTTAAATTTTTTTCACCTTTAAATAAACTTCTAACATACACAACTTTTTCCTTTTCTTCTATACCGAGAAATTAAAGCATACAAGCCTTCAACCTCAGGCATGATTAATTAGCATTTTCCTGCCAAATTAAAATCCAATATAACATCAACATACAATGTAAATGCATAAAATGATGAACTAAATATATAAAGTAACTTTTACTCCCTCCGTCTCAAATTATATGTTGTTAATTTTTTTTTCGAGATTCAAATTATGAAATTTTTATTAATATTTAAAAATGTATAATTTTTTATAATATTGACATGAGAAAAATTGTAACTTATCATAGTATGTATATATATATTTTTTTCATTCAGATTTTGATTCTAAAATATTACATGATTCTAATCCAATTATCTTTAGAGATTAGTATAATCGACTCCCAAAAAAGGAAAGCGATACTTATTTTGAGATGGAAGAAATACTATATATATATATATATATGAAACTCTTTATAATAAGTATAATTTTGGATTGTGAAAACTGAAAAGTAAAGTAATTAACTTGGTTACGGCTAAATGACCTAATAATAATAAGAAAATCTAAACACAAAACTTAATACTCTATCTATTTGAATTTATTTGTCTTATTTTTTTACTCTTTATTTTCAAACTTTCGACATGATATGTTTAAAAATCATAAGATTAAATGATATTTTGATACATTCCACGTATCTTTAATTTAAGACCATAAGATTAATTCAGAAGTCAGTTGTACTTCTTAAAACTCCGTATCAAATTAGAATCAGACAAACAAATTGAAACGGAGGGAATAGTGATCTTTTGGGCACATAAATTACTAGTTTGAATTTGAAGAGGGGAGAAACACCCTTTGAGTTTGAAGGAAGGCATTAGCCAGCATCTTCCCAAGCTGGACTTGTGCTGGAGTTGTAAGATGCAACAAATCTGGCCCAATTGGAAGCCCTTTAGCATCTACACATCTCACATTTGGAAGATTAATTCCCAATTGAGCTTTTCTAATTACTTCCATATATGGCCCTGGTGCTGTTGCCAATGCCACCTACACCCACAATAACCAACACAATTACTCAAAGTCTTTATAGTTTGATTGTGCATGACGTTTGCTTCCATTTGGCTATAGATTCTGAAGTTGAAACTTAAAGATTCGAGTTTCTGTAGTTGTGATTTTTTGAACTTGAAATTGTATCTGGACATACATTTTACTTTGAAAAAAATTAAAATTTTGTGAAAGAAAGTGAAATTTCTCCAAAAAATTAGATGAAAATATTTGAATACTAGATTTTTGAAATCTGATCAAGTTTCATGGTCAAACAGATATTTAAGATAATTTTTCAAAATCTAATTCAAAATCTATAATCAAACGCTAACTAAGAATATATAAAAGACTTTTGAATTATATAATCGCGGATATTATCTATAAAATATACAACCTTTTATATTGGTCTTTCATTATGTCATATCTAAGGAAGTGCCGTTAAGGGTAAAACAAGAATAGTGGAATTAAAAGCCTACTAAATACTAAAAACGAAACAATCTTTTTAAACAAATTAAAAGAAGAGTAAGACATTTAAATTGAAACAGACAAAATATATAACATAACTTAGTTAAGATTATTTCTATTACCTGAACAATAGGGAGTGTAGGTAGCTCCAAATCTCTACGAACATCTTTAAAGAATTTCTTCAATCTACATTTATACAATTTAGCATCGTCAAGATCAATTGCATCACTCTCCCCTTGGTACCACAACATCCCTCTTATCGTCCCTCCACCTTGTAACGCGACCTTAGTCCTCCTTATCATTTCGTTATAAAGCCATTCACCGCGCACCCATTGGGTAATATTTGTCCCTCCTATCGCGCAGGGGACTAATCCAATCACTCCAATTTCCGGGTCATCCATTTTGAGTTCATTAGCAAATGACATACCCGGCCCAACCCCACAAGTTTTATTCACATCTATGTCTTTGTGCAAGGGCTCGTGAGCCTCAACCCATGTAAGTCCTCCGTTGAGTCGGAGGACTGATGGATTGGGCTGACATTCAGGTGGAACAATACCATCCCAAGTCAAATTAACCGTACCTGATGAGCTGGTCTGATTAAAGACTCCACCGCGTCCTGACATGTTGCTTTGTCCAGATAAAATGAAAATGTTCTTCGCGATTGAATTACAACCATTGGTTACATTCGCGGTGGCTACCCACCGAGAATGTGACAAAAGCATCAACAATAGAAGGGGAAGCATTTTTTTTTTTAATTCTTTTTTGTAGAGTATGGATTAAAATTTTAGAAATTAAAGTCTTTCTTATAGACAAAAAAAAAAAAGACTACGAGGAAAGCACGGGGTGTTAATTAATTATCACATTAAATAACAGTATTATTGATTTAAGACTACAGGACAAAACCTTTTTAGCTGTACATGTTTCAACAGTCAAGCCTTTGACATGTTCGTTGAAAATATACTTGAGTAAATAAAAATATGTTTTTAAGACAGCAATAAGAACAAGTTGAAATTATTTTTTGTATGAATTTAATCTCAATTATATCCTTATCGTTAATTGATTGACCTAAACTACGAGAAATCGAATAAATTTACCCTCTATATTTTAATTTGATCCTAAATATGTCTTTACTGTTAGTAGACTAACGTATATTTGCCGTCTGTTTTAATTTGATCCTAAATATGTCCTTATAATTAGTGGATTACCATAAATTTTCTGACTAAAGTAAGCAGATCTGCAGTAGTTGTAGGAAATAATTTTGGTGAACATGTGCATAGGTTGGATAGGCACGTGCCAGCTGCAGGTGGGTCCCACGTACTTTTTTTTTGTTTCTCATCTGGTGTTTGGTACTCACGTAAGAGTTGACTAAATTTAAATTCACGTCAAAAAGTCTCATATTAAGAGGTAAAGCGCTCCCTGGATGTCAAGTTACGCCTCTTTACTTGGATGTAAAGTGTGTAACTTTAAAAAGCTCCCCTTTTCTTTTTCCATTCTAGCATTTTGTATCACAATTTGAACCGACGTTTGATCCTGAAAATTGAAAGGAAATCATTTTCTTTGAATTTTTAAAGTTAAAATTGAAGTTATGGTCCTGGATCGAATTTCATCGACACTCAAATTAAAAAGAATTTTCACGTGCTCGGGCCATGAAAAAGAATCAGGCATGCACATGAGGGGGCGTGTTGAGAATATCATTAACTAATAAAAGTGTGCCCTCTCTAACAACTTAAACTTTTAAATGCGATGGTCACATAATTCAACAGGTGCAATTCAAAATGTTTCTTTTCATTTCTTATTCACATCTTAAAACCCTAACGGAGGGTAGAATGTAGACGTAGAATTTTTGTTAGTGACAATATGCTAATCTTCGCCCTGGGTAGAGAGATGGCTTTGTACACTTTACCTTTGGATTTTTTTACGCAAATTTAGATTTAGTCAAACCCCAATGCAAGCATCAGAAAAAACAAAACAAATAAATATATGCTAATATTCATGTCAAATTAGCTTTGATAACATTTAGCATTTCAAAAACCTATATTGAAACAAAAGAAGAAAAAAAAGTTTAGCCTCAAGGGCACCATATTCTGGGAGCCCAAACTATAAGATTGAATAAATTCCCCTAAGGGGCCAAAGACATAGTAATATAGAGAAGACAAAATTGTTTCAAGCACCGACAGAACCGGAAGTACATGTCAAATGACAAGGACTACAAGACTACAAAGAAGAGGACATCTTTCAGAAAGCTAAGTTCCTCTAATATATAATATATTTGTTACAATGTGATAATTCTTGTTATGCAAAAAATAAAAAAACTTATGTCACTCCATTAACTATATCAATCTGTATTGTGTGCTTTGTCCTGCATTCTGGTTGTCCATATGTTAATTGAAATGTCATTCTAGTCTATGTTCTATTGTCGCGGAATTAGACCTGCTATTAACGTCAACTTATCTGTCAGTTGCATCAAGTCTATTACTCATTTGAGTACCTCCTATTCAGCAAATTTGGAACTCGTTGGACGACGGTAGATTAATGTCTTGTCATCACCATCCTCAAAATCAAGTTCATCCTCATTGTAGTCCATTTCCTCTACGATTTTTCCATCGTTATAACCCTCTTGGTTTTCGGATGACTTGACTAGTGAATATTGTCCGGTAAGAGATGAAGGATCCAAGCTTAAGAGTTGCATCTCGGATTCGATCAGAGCTTCCATTTGAGCCTTCTCCTTATCCCTTGGATAGGTGCAATAAAGAAAAGAGTAAATAACACAACATAGTGCCATTGGAGTTCCTATTGCAGTAAACAATGCCTTCGCCAAAGACGTAGCATTTTCTCTGTCTGTAGAAATACTATCAGCACCTTGAGTTACTGGCATATAACCATAAACATCCTGTGCCAGTAGACCAACAACAGGAGGAGCAAATGATGATAATACAGATTCAAAAGATCGGTCCAGAGCATAGACACTCGTTCGCGCCTTCTCGTGTACTATCTCTGCAAAAATTGGACTGTTGGTGTCTCTTTTAGTACCCTCTGCTGTTTTTTCATGATAAATGCAACAAGTGGACAAACAAGTAGTATTTCTTTCTAGAGTAATAAGTAAACCTTTTTAGGCATAATACATAAACGGACACTTAAACTTGGTCTCAGTAACCACTCCAACTTTGACAATGCACATCTAAACACTTCAACTGACCACTAAACACTCCAACCCAACCCCATTCTATCTCGTGGACACCTGGCGTTGATGTATCACATAAATTTTTGTAGATGTCTAGATGATCATTTAGTAAGTTGGAGTGCTTACTTGTCTGTTGAGGCTGAGTTTGAGTGTCTGTTTATGTATTATGTCAAATTTTGACGATGTTAAACTAACTTGTAAAGTTAATGAATACTTAAAAAGACAGAGTAAAGTTAATGATCATTTACTTGTTTGTAGCTGGTGCAGTCCAAGATATGAAAAATCCAGACACAAACAAGACCAAACCATGCATGAAAATTGATGAAGGATCATCAGGCAAAGCAAGCAGAAGAATTGCTGCAAGTGGAATAGCTGTTCCTGAGCTTATTTGTGCCAAAATTATCCTTCCACTATTAGGTAAACTCCGCGATAAAACGTCTCCCATCCTGCCTCCAAACAAACTCCCAATGGAATCACCAACCACAAACAAACTAAGAAGAATAGCAGTCTCCACATGAGTAAATCCAGTAAGTTCTAACCACATTGGAGCAAATGACAAAGCTGACCAAGGGAAAGATCCCATAACACCTTGAGCTACAATAATCTGAAAAGACGGTATCTTTACGACTGATTTTGCTTCTTCAAGTAGACCTTGAACTTCTGATATAAAGGAATAGGAACTTCCATGAACTTTACTACTAGATCTCAGATTATCATCTGGGAAATGAGGATCAGTCGCGAATAAACGAACTAGAATGCCAACAACCACACTGATCAAACCAACAAGATGGAAAGAAAGTCTCCAGCCAGGAATTCTCATGAATGTTATAGGAGCTATCAATAAGGAAACATAACCACCAACAAGTGAACCAATGTTGCTAGTGAATTGCAGCCATCCGAATGCCATTCCGCGGTTATTTTCATCACAAGAGTCAGCTACTAGTGATTGAATAGCAGGTGAAACTATGGCTAATCCAATCCCATTCAAAGCTCTTGACACTGCCAACTTACCAACAAAAAAAGGATGTCATGAATTGCTTAATTTTCTTACAACTATATGCATACACTCAGTAGTAGCAGAGCTAGAATTTTCATTAAGGAAATTCAAATATAAAGAAGTAAAGGAATTTCAACATCTATTATATATAAGTAAATTTACTTTGACCTTATACATACAGTGTAACTTTAATACGAAGAGAGTTTTAATTTGAACCCCCTCGCGCCCCTAGCTCTATCAATGCATACAAGTATAATTGTCAAACACATAATCAATTTAATCACTTCCTCTGTTTCACTACAATTTAGACATTCTCAACTTACAAAATTACAATAACTTATACTCTATCCGTTTCATTTTGACGTGATGTTTTTTGATTGGATACAGAAGCTTAAGGCGTTAAAGAGAGCAAACGTCATATCAAAGCTACGTGTGAATAGTTTAACGAATTTAAATTATCAAAAATAGAACAAGATCTAACTTTTTTGTGACGTCTAGTTTCCAAAACAGAACAAGTGTGTCATATAAACTAAAACATGAGACAGTAGCACTCTACTTGAAAGAAGGTAGTGGAGAAAGCGACGAGAAATGTAGCTGCAGCCCATAGAAATGCACCATAGGCAATAACATGAGCCCGATTGTGGCGTGCAGCTAGATAAGCCGCGATAGGATAACACGCGGACTGGACCATGGACCGGAAGAGCGTGAGTGAACCTAAACCGGTTGGGTCCGTGTGGAGTGCATCTCCAACTTCTTTATAGACTCCTGGTAACAATGACTCATCTGCTTTTTCCATAATACCTGCTAAATTAACTAACACAAGAGTAAGTGTTTCTACCTTCATTTTTTTTCTTGATTTTTGTTATGGACACTATACATTCATGAAGAACAAAAACAAATCAAAATTATTTTATACAAAATTATTTTACAAATATTTTGGATAACAAATCATTTTAGTTTCTTTTTTTTAAGTGTTCAAAGAGAATAGGGTCAGAAATTGGAGACTAGATTAAAAGGTAGTTGAAAAATGATGGTTAGGGAAAAAAGACTAAGTCCCAATTGACTAGGACAAAACAAGATTGCCTCCATTCTAGCAAGCATTATAGGATCCATAGTGTTCTACTTTCCATCAATTGAAGTTGGCTAATTGAATTTATTTTTTTGGGTAAATTGCTACACCCTATGTCTCAAATTAGTTATCACGTTTTGCTTCTCGAGAGTCAGACTGTGTGACCTTTGATCAATAATTTAAAATGTATTTCTTAAATTGAATTGACTTGAGAAAAGATACAACTTGTAGTACTTCTGATATGGCTATTACAACAACAACATATCCAGTGAAATTCCACAAAGTGAGGGTATGGGGAGGATAGAGTGTATGCAGGTCTTACCACTACGTATGACACTACCTACCAGAGGCAGAAAGGTTGTCTCTAAAAGACCCTCGGTTCAAACAAATCAAAACTGTAATTAAAAAAAACAGTAGTGGACAAAAACATGACAACTAATAGCAAAGCAGTGTAGAGCATATATGCAAGGAACCGTAACATAACAACAACAGGATGCAATCACCTAAATATAATAAGCCACTTATGATATTTGATACAAAAAATAAAAACCTACATGAATAGGCCAATACTATGACAAACACGATGGTCTATATACCACCAAGTCAAAAACATGAATTGCTAGTACTAAAACAACGCTCAAGTAGCTACTAATCTTAGCTTTTATTCTTATTCACGACTTCTCATACCCTCTTATTTAAGGTCATGTCTTTAATATGATTATTGAATATATCCAAATTTTAGTCGTAATATATAGAATTGATCTAATACAATTTTACCTCAAAGATTAATCAAATCAAATCTCAAAAGCAAAACTAAAGGAGGCAATTTTTTTTCATCTCATCGTGCCATTTGATGAGAACCATACAATGGCCCCTAACGGAGGCAATTTTTTAAAAATAAATTGTACATCTGTTAAATAACTTGATAACGCTAAAACCTTTTAAATTGTCACGTATAGAAGTTAAGTTAGAAGAATTACAATCTAAATAGTTGTTCAATGGGCATTCTTATACTAAAAATGGACAATGAATGTATAATATAAAGGCATAATACATATATTGACCCCTAAACTTGGCTTCAAATTTTAACTTTGACCTCTCACTTTCACAATGCACAAATAGGCACTTTAACTATCCAAAACTTAAACAAAAAAACACTCGGATCCTACCTGGCAAAATGCGTGAAATACACTCAAATTAGGCGCGTCAGATGTAAAAATTCAGGGGGTCAACAGTAAAAAAAGCATTGAAAGGACAATTAAACCCTTTTTATATTTTTTTCAACAATTTCCCCCTCTTTTTTGCATTATTTGTTGTTCACTGCAAAATGCAAGTGACATTTAATAAAAAAATTTGTTATTACGAAAAAAAATTATAATGAAGTTTTTTTTCGGCAAGAAGGAAAAAGGAACACGTGTAGTACTAAATT